AGGTGAAAATATCATCTATACAATTTATAGTTGATCTTTTTTTTTTTTTATGGTACTGGGGTTTGAACTCAGGGCCTACACCTTGAGCCACTCCACCATCCCTTTTTTGTGATGGTTTCTTTTTCAAGATAGGATCTCACGGAACTATTTGCCCGGGGCCAACTTCGAACCACAATCCTCCTGATCTCTGCCTCCTGAGTAGCTAGGATTACAGATGTGAGCCACCAGCGCCCGGCTGATCTTTTAAATTAGATCAACTTGCCAGCTAGTCAGGAGGCAGAGATAGGAGGATCACATTTAGCAAGACTCTATATGAAAAATAAACTAAAGTAAAAAGGGCTGGTGGAATGGCTCAAGTGGTAGAGCCCCTGCCTAGCAACCTGAGGTTGCTAGGTCCTGAGTTCAATCCCCAAATAAATAAATGAATTCAATGCGTGAGATCAACTTACCTTCCCTTAAGTGTATCTAGGAAGGAAAACACTACTCCCTAAATAGAAAGCCCTCTTCACACTGCCTTGTGAGCAGAAGGTACTGATCACAGTCAGTCAATGTGTGACACTGGCTGCAGGGGCTCATGTGGCCCATGGGGGCAGGGAGCCTCCTGCTGTGCCTTTTCCAGCTGTAGGGTGCTGTGCCCTCAAGGGAGGCCCATCTATAGGGATGAATCACTGTCCATGTGGATTGTGGCACAAAACTTATTGTCCGGGTCCCCAAAGAGTCAGTCATTTCATATTCTCTTGATTCCAAGACACATCTTTTTTCACATTTTCATGTTTCTCTGTTTGAAATGAGCCTTAAAATGCATGTTTATGTCTAATGAAATGAGGTTTTTCTTCCTCTTCTTAAAAGTTTCCACTAACTTTATGACAATTTTGGGGGGCAGTACTGGGGTTTGAACTCAGAGCCTCACACTTGCTAGGCAGGGGCTTTACCACTTGAGCCTCTCTGCTAGTCCTATTTTGTATTGGGTATTTCTCAGATAGGGTCTCACAAACTATTTGCCCAGCTGGCTTTGAACCATGATCCTCCTGATCTCTGTCTCCCAGCCTTTATGACATTTTAGAACCCTAAAAAATAAAGATTAGATTCAACCCTGAGAATTTGCACATTACAGTTAGCTGTCGCATCTCCTTGGGCTCCTTTTGACTGCCCTTGTTTTTGATGAGCTTGACAGTTCTGAGGAGTACAGGTCAAGCACTTTGTAGGCTGCCCCTCTAGTGGGAGACATCTAAAATTTTTCTCATGACTCAACTGGGATTAGGGATATTTGGAAGCAGAGAAAAAGTGCCTTTCTCATCACGTTGGTCAGATGCACATTCCGTCGGTGGGAGTCATTGATGTTGACTTGGTTATGTGGATAGGGCAGTAGTTGTCAAGTTTCTCTGCTGTAAACTTGCTCTCCCCCCATTCCACATGTCCTCTAAGAGTGAAGCCAGCACACGCGTAGCCCTCATTTCAGTGGTGGGGAGTTCCATCTCCCCTGGGAATTTTTAAATATTTGAGGATTGTCCATTTGGGATAAATATGGCTAGCCCTTAAATTTACTGTCTCAGGTGATGTAACACATACTGAATTCTGAAAGAAAAGTCAAGCTAGGAGTTTGGGAGAGGTGGGATCTTGCACTGCCTGTTTTTGTGACCCTAGTACCACTTCTTCCATGGTGCAAGACACTGTTGATGCTTAATAAATACCTATTGGGTTGGATCAAGCAACCAGGAAAAAAAAAAAGCCTCAAAAGCCTCACAGCAGGTTTTACTGCTGCCCAGGCTTTCTCAAGGCCACCAGAGTCCAGGAAATGAATTTTCTTTGCTTACCTCAGAGTTGACGAGGCAGGCTGGGGTGGTGGTAGACTCCTGTAATCCCAGGACTCAGGATGTAGGGGTAGGAAGATCAAAAGTTTAAGGCCAGCTTGAACTACACAGGCAGACCCTGTCTCAAAGAAACAAAAGAGTTGATGAGGCAGGAGCTGAATCACCAGTGAGACTCATAAGACAACCCTTATGCAGGTGAGAAAGCCCAGGGACCTTCAAGACAGTGTGCACAGCATGTCTGCAGACGACAGGCCTCACCTTCTTCATAATTGGTGATGCTTACTGAGTGTCTACAGTGTGCATGTGGCGCTCTGGGTCACAGAGGTGATGAAATATGGTCCACCTGATGTAACTTGAGACAAGTTGTATCCATTTCCCATTGCTGTAGCAACAGATCATCACGTGGAAGACACCCGTATGTTAATCTCATGGTTTCTGTGGGTCAGAAGTCCAGTACAGAGTGGCTCAGGTGCATTCTGTACTTAAGGTGACAAAATCAAGGTGTCCCAGGACTGTGTTCCTTTCTGGAGGCTTTGGGGAAGAACTGCTTCCAAGCTTATTCGGTTCCTTATGGTTGTGGGACTGAAGTCCATGTCCCTGCTGGCTGTTGGCTGGGGTCCCCTGTGCCCTGAATGTGCTCCCTGCACATGTACTCAAGATGCCACTCAAGGTGGCACTTCCACCTTCCAGCCCACAATAGAGCAGCAAGTACTCCTCAATCTGGCTTCCTCTTCCCCCCATCTTTTCTGAGTCCTCTTCCACCTTGATTTGTAAGGGCGCATGTGAGCCCATTGGAATAACTTCCCAATTTTAATTAAATTACAGTTGAATTTGTAACTGCTGTGGTCCGGATGTCCATGCCTCCCCCTGCCCCACTTCATCCATTGAATTCCTAAGCCCCAAGATGATGATGTTCGGAAGCATGGCAGGCAGTGAGGATAAGATTAGTGCCCTTATGAGAGAGGCCACAGAGAGCGAGCTGGCCCCTTCCACCTTGTGAGGACAGAGCTAGAAATTGCTGTCTGTGAGGAAGCAGGGCCTCACCACACAGCAAATCTGCCAGTGCCTTGATCGTGGACTTCCCAGCCCCCCGAAGAATGAGATATAAATTTCCGTTGCCTTTAGTGTCTGGTTTATGCCATTTTGTTATAGCAGCCCAAATAGACTGGACAGTAGTTTTCATCACCCCTGCAAGTAGGAACTTGTATGGTAATCCCAGGGACATGCAGTCCTCTTGGGGCCATCCCCTGCCTCCCACACAGGACTGTGCATGGGAGCAGCCTGCAGAGCATGTTAAAATGTGGGTGCTGCTCCAGCAGGCCTGGAATTACAGTGTGCCCTTCTCATGGGCTCCCAAGCAATGCTGCAGCTGCCCTATGAGCACACTGTAAGTGACGTGGCTTTAGCCCAAAACCCAGATGAAACCCCAGAGGGAATCGCAGTATGTAAAACCTGTGATTCTCAGACTTAAGGAACCATCAATAGCACCAGAAGATGTGTGAACACATAGCCCTGGGGTTTCTGAGTCAGAAGGGCAGGGGTGAGACCTGAGGGCTTACATTCCTAATAAGCTCCAGGTGCCACTAATGCTGCTAGTCAGGGGACCACACTTTGAGAACTGCTGCATTCTCAGCCATGAGGCTGCCTATCACTGAATGAATGCTAAGGGACCATTTTGTGATATGTAGAACCGTTTTGTGAAAGTAAGAAGTACAGTCCCTTTTTCCATCCACTCTAATGACACCCCTGGGAATCCAGGTGTCTGAGATGACATTGTGCCTTCTTCAATTGATCCACTTTAATTAGAGGGCTTGGATTTTGTTTTCACATACTGAGCTGCCTCCTTCTATCATGAAGCACAACAAATTAAGTTTTAAAATAACTTGAATCTCTGACCAAAGATGGCCCCAAACCCACCTTTTAAAAACCAAAATAATAGTTTGTATTTTTATCACAAAAGCAATACTCATTTGTTGTAGAAAATATAATGAAAAAACTCATAATCTCACCCAAAGGTAACTGCTCCATTCTGAGACCTTTTTAGGGTTTTATTTCCAAAAAGACATGGTACAAACTGTGTTGTATCCTGCTTTTCTTACTTAACAGATGATTGCATTAGCTTTCTATTGCTGTAGCAAAATACCCAAGATAATCAACTTAAAAGAGTAAAGGTGTATTTTGGTTCCCTGGTTTGGAGGTTTCAGTCTGTGGTCAATTGATCCCATTGTTTTAGGTTCTGTGGTGAGGCAGCACTTGATGGTAGGAGCAGGTAACAGAGAAACTGCCTGCTTCATGACAGCTGGGAGGCAGAAAGAGAGCAGGAGAGTCCAAGATCCCATAATCCCCCTTAAGGCTTACCCTTGATGATTGACCTAAGACCTCCCACTAGGTCCCAGTTCATAAAGGTCCCACCACCTCCCAACAGGACCATAAGCTAGGTACCAAGCCTTCAGCATCTGGACCCTTGGGGGACCCACTTACCTGAGCTACAGCAGTTATATACATTTTTCTAACCCCCTGCTGCACCTTCATTTCTACTCTCTCTGCCCAATAAAAAGCAGCAGAGAGCTGTGAGTTTGTACCATGTCTTGCCTTCTGCACACCTGCAGGAGGGAAATGAACAGAAGTGGCCTCAAAATGGAACTCCCTCTGTCTTGAGGGTAAGGATCACAGAACTGTCTCCCACACCTGTTTTTTTGTAGGGGAGAGTGAGAAGTGATTCAACTGATTACCCCCAGACCCAGAATCCAATTCATAAGAAAGCTCACTCACCCACATTTGTCTTGTGAGTGGAGTTCAATCCTGGAGCCCAAAGGCTTCCTGCTGCTCTTTGCAGAACAATTAGTGGCTTCCAGAATTGGAGATGATTGATAAAGGTGGATTTAGGATTCTGTTCCGTGAGTTGCAAAAACCTGCTTTCTGATGGTCAGTAGATGGTTAGGGCGAGACAGAAAATTTTCCTTATGAATATCTCAAGCGTTCAGCAGCCAGTCTACCAGAAAGACAGTGGACGCACAGTACAGGTACATCCAGGGCTGGCCAGGACAAATAGGATGTGAACCCTCCAGGGGGACCTGCAGTAAATGTGTGGGTTCCTCCTGCCTGGGGGAGGGACACACTCCAATGGTGACAGCTTGGCTGAGGCCACCCCCAGTCCCCAACACTCCAGCGCTTCTTTTTCCTCCACAGAACGAAGTGATCAGCCAGCAGCTGTGTGTGATCTTCACGCACTGCTACGGGCCCTACCCCATCCCCAAGCTGACCGAGATCAAGAGGAAGCAGACCTCGCGCTTGGGTGAGTGGCTCCCCAGGGCCTGCCAGCTGCTGCTGGTGATGTAGGGGGCGGTGGGCAAAAGAGATAGGCGAGCCAGACTGGCGGAGAGCAGAAGAGCCCTCTTATTAGGTGGTAAGTCTCTTTGGAGAACATGCCTTCGGAATGTGGACAGGGAGACTGGCCAGTGCCCTGCAGCTGAACCAAGGGGACTTTCTCCCTTGGTCACAGGCAGTGGGTACTACTCAGGCCCCCTGGTCCATCCATATCCCATGCACCAAATTCTGATAAAAGCACATTGCAGGTCTTCCTGCAAACTCTCCCCTCTGAGAGTGAAGGAGCAGAGGACAGTGACGTGTCATCTGTGTCCCTCTAATAGAAGTCTTTCTAAAGAACTAAGAAAAGAGGTGATCACACACACACACATCCATAAAAACAAGAGGGAGGACATAACTTAGCTCAGGAAGCCATGAGAGTAACAACAATCACTTCCTGTGCTCCTTGGACACCGCACTGAGCCCTCACCAGACCCGCACTTGACTTCCCCGATCTCAGGTAACTCCACATCCCAGGAGGCAAGCACTGTACCCCAGGTAATGGCTGAAGCATCAGCGCAGGCTGGAGCTGGTACTGAAGCCAGGTCCCTCCAAGGCCTGATTCCTCATTCTGCAGGGCTAGCTCCGGAGACTTGACAGAAACGCCTGTCCTTCAGGCGCCAGCCTCAGCCACAGGCTCCTGGAGAGGCTGCAGTGTCGGGAAAAGGCAGAGAAATGTCCCATGCTTTGAGGCTGGAAACCTGAGGCTGCTGTTGCCACAGCCTGTCCCTTGCTGCCTAGGGAGTTATAAAATATTAACAGTGAAGGATTCCTTTTCCTATAAAGGTCAGGAGGTCTCCTGCTTCCCATTTCCTTTCCCTTAAAGGTTAGGGAATATTTGAGAAATGGAACCACCATCACACCCTATCTTGCAGCAAAACCACTCATTTGCAAGGGATGAGCTACGCTTCGATTCATGAAAAGGCCGAGCTCGAGGTATTTGCAGTCCTGTCGTGAATAACGTGTGCATTTAAATGTGATGCAATTTTCTGCCAAAATGATAAACTTGGCAGCTGAGTCAAAGGTTATGTTACCTTTATGAGTATGCACATGAGAAAACAGAGATAACAAAGTCACAAGTATTTCTGCCTTGCAAAAAGCAAGTTGAGTTCGGTGCTGGTGGCTCGTGCCTGTAATCCTAGCTACTTGGGAGGCTGAGGATCAGCAGGATTGCAGTTTGAAACTAGCCCCAGCAAAAAATTCACAAGATCTCATCTCAACCAATAGCTAGGCACAGTGGCATGCACCTGTCATCCCAGCCACTTGGGAGGCTGAGATTGGGAGGATGATGGTTCCAGGCCAGCTCGGGCAAAAAAAGTACACAAGACCCCATCTCAATGGAAAAAAACTGAGTGTGATGATACTCTCCTGTCATCCCAGCTACTATGGGAAGCATACAATAGGATGACCAAAGTCAAAGACAGCCTGGGCAAAAAGTGAGACCCTTCCTCCAAAATAATCAGAGGAAAAATGGCTGGTGTAGAGCACCTGCCTAGCAAGTGCATAGCTCTGAGTTCAAACCCCAGTACAGAAAGAAAGAGAGAGGAAAGAAAAGGAAGGAAGGAAGGACGGAAGGATGGAAGGAAGGGAGGGAGGGAAGGAAGGAGGGAGGGAGGAAGGAAGGAAAGAAAGAAAGAAAGAAGGAAGGAAACAGGTGTTGATTAAAATAGTTCAGGGCAACAAATTGCAAAGACCAAGTGAATGAACAGATGTTAGAGACGGAGGGTCGCCCTCCCAAAGTGGCAGCAAAGTCAGATGTCTGGGTGCCTTAGACACCTCGTTAGAGTGAACATTTTCAAGGACTGCATCAATGGCATAGCATAAACACTGCTTCCTGTAGCCACAGAGAGAAGGGGATGCTTTTGTCTGAATTTGCTCCCATTTCTTTCACCAGCAATGAAAATCACAGGCCAAGCCTTATAATTCCAAGGTTAGCAGTAAGAGAAAAGAAAGTAGACCTGAGAGACTCAGAGCTCACAATGCAAAAAAGCAAGGGCATCCAATAATAATTGATTAAATCCAAGGTCCCAGCCAAGGTTCATGCTGGGTGGGGACTGACCAGGACCTGGGGGTGGGGGTGGCAGATACCCTAACAACACAGAAGTTGGCACCCACGTGGCTAAAATGACAGGCAAATGGGAGGGTCCTCATGTTTGATGAGACAGCCCTTGACTCTGAATGCCCAAGTTCAAACCCTGGCCTGGACAAGTCACTGTAACCTCTGAGTGCCTCATTTTCCACTGGGGATCATGTGGCCCCTACCAGCTTGCACAGGGCCTGGCATGGCGTGGGATGAGACTCAGTACATACACATTGGTTCAGTCACCTTTGTGATCATGAGAGATGATGGCTCCTTTGTCACTGACTCTGAAAAAGAAGGACTTGAATTTCAAATCACCTGGAACACAGTGGCGAGGGGACAGCTCTTCTAAACAACATCCATCAGGTGGGGGACAGGACTGAGCCCTGAGAAGCAGGAGCGAGGGGGTTAGCATCTCTGTACACTGTAGCAGGGTCACTTTTAACACCTCCAAGCATGGAGAAAAGTGACTTTAACCATGTGTGAGCGGTGAGCATTTCCTGTGCCGAGCTGTGTGGGGGAGATTTGTGAGTCCCCTGATGTGTCCCGTCCTGTTTGGTCCCCATCTCACCAATGAGTAATGGACCGCCAGGTCTCCCTGCCTGCTGCCATCTGCACCTTCACCCTCTTCCCACTAAAACCACCCTTTCCCCTTCCTGTTCTAGATCCTCATTTTCTTAACAACAAAGACATGTCTGACGTTACCTTTCTGGTGGAGGGAAGACCATTTTATGCTCACAAAGTGCTGTTATTTACAGCCTCTCCAAGGTATGTACCATCAGACCTGCAAGGGGCTGAATTATTGCTATTATTGCTAGATTACGGCTTTTTTGAAGTTCAATGTTTGGGGTGTTTCACTGTAGTGGCAGAGTATCTTCTCAAAATCAAGGACTCCAGAGTACAGGGTATTCCTTTGTGTAGTCTAGAGCGAGGCACCCTTTTTTGTGGACAGGGAGAGAGAGCCTTCATCAGAAGCAGAGCTTTGTAAGCAGAAAATCGATTGAATTTCGGCTCCTTTAGCCAGGTGCCCCTTGTGTAGTGAACAACCTGAGACCTCTTACATGGCAGCCTGGAGAGGCCCACTCCCCAAGTGTCAGGGAACAGCCTTTGGCATAAGCCACCAAAATACATAGGTTCCGAACTTCGTTGTCTCTAATGGCAAAAACAGATGATAGCATCATGTAGAAATACAAGGAAGAAATTGCTCAGCCTCCCTGCTGGCTCTGTGGCTGCCCTGGCTCCTCCTCTCAATTTGCATGAGATTGATTTGCTTGGGATTGATTTGCATGAGATTGTCCAGTACCTGAGCAGGGAGCAGTGAAGCTGGACAGAGGAGAGAGGATGCTGGCATAAGGAGGAGGCAGGCCACCAGGAGGGGAGCAGAGAGTGCCTGAGCCTGGCAAGGACGCTGGGAACACAGGCTCAGAAGCCCTTTCTGGGAGTTTGTTCAGGGAATGTGGGACCGGTGCCCCTGATTTCTCAGAAGCACCTGGCATCTCTAGTGCCCCCCAAAACCAAATACATACCCCAGATGTCTGCTTTGCAACCACAAGAAAAACTCATGGGTCTTGGTTGTGACACCACAGACAAGCTGGGTCAATATTGTACCAAAGCCAGGTGTGGTGGCACAGGTCTGTAATCCCAGCTACTTAGGAGGCAGAAATAGAGAGAATGCACTTTGAGGCCAGCCTAGGCAAAAAATTAGTGAGACCCCATCTCAACCAAGAAGCCAGGCATGATGGTGCATGACTGTCATTCCAGCTATGTGGGAGGCAGAGGTAGGAAGATCGTGGTCTGAGGCTATCACTGGTCAAGGGCACATAAGACCTTATCTGAAAAATAACTAAAGCAAAAAGGGCTGGGGGTGTGGCTCAAGTGGTAGAGCAGCTGCCTGGCAAGCATGAGGCTCTGGGTTCAATCCCTGGAATCTCCAAAATAAGTAAGTAAATAAATAATCGTGTACCAATGTCACTAAGTTTCAACAAAGGTACCATGGCCAGGAAAAAGGTCAGCCTTGGGGGAAGCTGCAGAGAGGGGAAACAGGACCTCTCTACACTCTCTTTGCACCTCTTCTGTAAATTTATTACTATTTCAAAATGAAAAGGTTGTAAAAAAAAAAAAGAGAGAGAGTGAGTTTAGCTTCCTTCCAAAGGTTCTGAGTGCTCGTGTATTCCGCCAATAGGGCATCTACCCTGGGAAAGTGATAATTTAGCTGGGCACCGTAGGGAGAGGCTCAGGGAGTGGGCAAGAGGGGATTAAATGTCCCCAATAAGTCATGTCCCTGCAGACAGCCCTGCCGTGGAGAGACAGAAGCCACAGGGGCCTCTGCCCTCATAGGAGCAGAGCCTGTGTGGCAGGAAGGAGGGAGTGTCCAACAGTTTCCTGGGCATCAGGGACAGCCAGGGCCCACACTCAGGAAAGGCACTAGGAAGAAGGTGGCTCTGTGATGGTGCCCAGAAGTGGACAGTGTTATAAAGCACATCCATTCTCTTCTGGTCACCAGTTTGAGAAAAGTTGTAATAGTCAACAGTTTTTAGCTTTAGAGTCTTACCTTATGATTTGATTCTAGAAAAACCTGGTAGGGTTTAAGTGAAGAATCTCATGGCTATGTCCTTGTTGTGCTTCCAAGTCAGGAGTACAGGGATTTCCATCACTCGGAGAGCTGGGGTTTTGAGAGCGGTGGAGGTGTGTGAGTCTTTCACCTCCCTTGTGTGTCTCCTTCAGGTTCAAAGCACTCCTCTCCAGCAAGCCTACCAATGACAGCACCTGCATAGAGATAGGTTACGTGAAGTACCCCATCTTCCAGGTGAGTCCTGGGTGACTTGGAACTCTGAAGTGGGCACAGGGCACAAGTGGCTGCCTCTGATCCTCAGCCTGGGGACTAGCCACCACTTTGTTCTGAAATACCCTCTCTGAATAGGAATCACGACAAAGAAGAATAGCTCCCACTTTCTGAGCACTGGCTGCATGTCAGACTGGGAGGGAGCCCTTGGTCCGTGGCCTCAGCTGCACAGTGGAACCATCTGGGGACTTTTGAAAATCCCCTGGAATGAGAAAGGACCGCAGACGCATTAAGTCATAACCTCAGGGCAGGGATGGGGGGGAGCAGCATGGGTATTTGGAGGTCTCCACCCCTCCAGTCTTCCAGACTGCAGCCAAGGTGAAAAACCAGGCTCTAAGTTACAGTAGCATTTGCATCCTAGCAGGTATCAGATCCCCGGGGACAGGTAAGATGCACATTAAAATGCAAGATGTGTGTTCAGTGCATATTCAGGGCCAGCCCCCAGAGCTCGCTTCTGTAGACGTGAGAATTTCCATTTCTAACAAGAACCCTGGGGAAGACTGATGCTGCCGGCCTGGGGTCTCCACTCTGAGCACCGCTGATGCCCATTGTGTGACTGGATCCTTCCAACTGCCCTGCTGGGAGCTCTTAGAAGGAAGAAGCTGGGCTCTGTAGCCTGAGGGCTTGACAACATGGTAAAGTCTGTAACCTCAGCTATTCAGGTGGCAGGCCAGAGGCCAGCCCCAGGAAAGTTAAGGAGACCCTATCTCAACAATAAAACACTAAAGCACAGGTAAAATATCAAAGCAAAATCCCACTGAGCAATGAACGGACACTAAAACAATGAAAGGCAGCAATGTAAAATGGGTCATGTTAAGAGGAGGGCACTAGTTGGAGGGGGAGGGTAAATGAAGAGGGTAAAGGAGGGTGAACATGGTTGAGGAACTTTCTATGCTTGTATGAATATAGAGCTCTAAAACCTGTCAAAGTCATTTCAAAGAAAGAGTAGGAAAAAAGAGGGAGATTAATGGAGGGGGATGAACCAAACCAGGCTGCAAAATACATATGTATATATGGAAATGTCACAATGAAACTTCCTGTTTAAAAAAAATACAAAGAAAAGAGCTGGGGCTGTGGCGTAAGTGGTAGAGCTGTCCTGGGTTCAATCCCTAGTAAAGCATTAAAAAAATAAAATAAAATTGCCAGGCCCAGTGGTTCAAGCCTAACTACTCAGGAGGCAGGACCCCAATCTCAACCAGTAGCTGATCAAGGTGGTACCCACCTGTCATCCCCACCTGTGCAGAGAAGCACAAATAAGATCACAGTCCAAGCCACCCAGGGCATCAAGCGAGACCCTATCTCAAAAATACCCAACACAAAAGGCCTGGCAGAGTGTCTCAAGTGGTAGAGCGTCTGCCTAGCATGCACAGAGCCCTGAGTTCAAATCCCTATACCACAAAAAAAAAAAAGTTGAGTGGCTTAAGTTTCCACAGCTGCTTCTAACAGAGCTGAGGTTCAAACAAGGCTGGTTTCCTTCACTTCCCCCTTCTGTGGGGCACTCGGGCCCTCCCTAAAGTCACTTAGCCTTGGAGAAAGACTTATGATGGCCCATTAGCATCTGAAGCACCCGAGCTGGAGGCAGAAACATTTGTGCGGCCCCAACACAGTGCTTGAGAAGAGGCCCTTGGACAATTAAACGTGGGGCTGATGGGGGGAAGAGGGGGGGGCTGTAATAAGAACTTGGCTTTAATAGGCTCTCGGTAAATATTAGCCAAGAGGACTTGCTGAATGAAACTGTGGAAAGGCTGGCCTTGGAGGAGTCCCCGGGCCCGTAATTGCTTTTGACTGGGGAAGGTTTCCTGGCCACATTAGCCTCAAGTTCCTGGAATGGGAAAGAAGATTTAACATACCCTAAGGACTTGTCCATATGCCCGCCCCTTCCCCATAAAAGAAGAAAAGACTCATTTGTGGCTTGAAATAGGCCAAGGAAGGCTGAATCCGACCCACAAGGAGGCTCCCAGGGGTCTGTGTGCATCACTTCCGTGCCGGCTGAAGAATTTTACCAAATGAGGCTGCATCAGGTTTCCTTCCCCAAGACTATTTAACATCACACGCAGGGGAGAGCAGGACGCCACTGAGGCTGCACCTGGAGCTGGGGCCTCCGCGGGCTGTGGACACTATTGAGTCCCTGCTTCATGTGACTTGGCAGCCGCCAAGAAAAACAGCTCCATCAACAGGCCCTCCCGCCTAATAAAGGCGCATTTCACCCACTTGCAGAAAACACTTGTGCTGGCAGAGTCTAGAAGTGGCCTGGGACAGCCCAACTTAAGTTCCATCAGCCCCAGGATCTCCTCCACCGAGGAGTAAGTCCATGGCTCAACCTTAAATAAGTGAGAGAGCGTGATCGCAGAGCGCTTTGCAAGTGGAGAGCCTGTCGGAGGCAGATATTACTGTGGCTGTCCTTATTATTATTGGTTTGGCCTTTATAACAGAGAGGAGCTAGGGGAATAAATTTGATTTTAATTACTAGCCCAGCATTTGCTGACGGGGTATTTAATATGCTTATGGCCCAGCAGCATAGGAGAAGGGAGAGCAAACAATGCAGCTATTTGACAAGGCCTTGGCTGCCACCACTCTGTGATACTAGTCACAAAAACCCAAAATTAGTGCAGGAGAGATGGAAACACAGAAGATGGAGGGGAGGGCTCCCTTTATACTTAAATGCATGTGGCACCTTGTGCTGGCTGTGTACCAGGCACTGTTCTAGGCGATGGATATAGCGATGGGTTAGATATTGGTGCACTGCCCCCGCCCCAGGCAGTGCAGTGGTAGGAAAGGTGCTGCCTGGCACCAGGCAGGGTGGGGAGCTTCCCAGTGCAGTGGTCACAGAGGACAGGGTGGAGCTCACAAGGTAGAGAGGGAAAGGTATGGGCTGGGAGACCAGGAATGTTTAGATAAAGGCAAGGGTGGGGTGTGGTCAGAACATAAAAGGCCCATCCCCTCAGGAGGAGGTGTCTATGAAATGTACAGAATATGTTGCTCCATGATGGTTGTCAGGGCTGTCAGGTGCAGGAGATGAAGTGACTGCTAATTGATAGTTCTTTGGGTGGGGATTTTAAAAAGTATTCCAAAATTCTATTGTGGTAGTGGTTGTATGGCATTGTGAATCTGCTAAAAAACCACTGCATCTGTATACTTTTAAGCAGGACCTTGTGGTATGTGAATATATCTCAGTAAAGCTGAGAACAATGTTTTCTAAACAGACAAAAAATAGATTGAGAAAATTGCAGTCTCCAGTGGCCTGGTGAAAAGGGGCAGTATGAGCTCAAAGCAGGTGGAACATGAGGTGTTAGCATTTATTGAGCACTTGCCTGGTGCAGACCCACGCTGGGCCTATTCGATGTGGTAATTCATCTGGGCCTCACTGTAACTCCACAAGATGGACAGTATCGTGCTCACTTTATAGATGATGGAACAGAGGCACACAGAGTCTAACTTAATTGAGGTCACCCAGCTTTTCAGCAGCAGATCCACATCAGGAACTGAGGCAGATCACCTCCAGGGTCCTGCCTGGAGCCACTCTCCTGTGTTGGGCACAGACTATCAGACATGAAGTGACAGGAGAGGACGGCCCAGACCAAGCTCCTCATTTACAAGTGCCCAACCATGGGGAGTAACCAGAGGGCACATTGTGTGAGCCAAAATGCCTTGGAGCCAGGCAGGGGAAGCTAGTTTGTCAGGCTGACAGGTGGAAGACAATAGGAAATGGAGGAGACTGGGGCAAAATGGGAACCATATGTAGCAGGCGGAATTGAAACTCCGCTGTCATGGGCGGTGGTGATACTGGATATAGACACGTCCGTCAGCCTCATCCCATTCGAGAGATACTTATTTGCAAAACTCTGCAAGTTTGCATGCTATTGGGGCATCAGGAGTCACATGACAAATGACAGCCTGGCTTGGACCGGTCTCCCTGCCTTCTGTGAACATGGAAACCTTGTCCCCCAATGCCTTTGCCTTGGATCCTGTCAGGTTGTAATCAAGAACTTGTTTCACAGAATGGCTGTCTGGGACTTCAAGAGGTTTCAGAGTGGGCTGTGTTTCCAGGACAGTTCTGCATAGCAGGCTGTCTTGGCCTGACAGGAGGGAGGTGAGTGGACTCCCCACCACTTACAGGTGGGGAAACCCTGAGGCCAGAGTTCAGGTTGTTTGATTTGGCCCTGGGGTAAAACCAGAGCAAAGGACCAGAAACCACAGGGAGCTAATTGCAGGAAATGTTCCTGTATGATGGTAGGAATGACAGTCTACAGGAGAGTGGCGTGACCACTTCCCAAGAGTGTGTGGTGTGTGACTAAGGCTCTACTCACTGTGTTCTCTCTCCTTCCAGCTAGTCATGCAGTATCTGTACTATGGAGGCCCAGAGTCACTTCTCATTAAAAACAATGAGATCATGGAGGTAAGGAAGCCCCAGTCATTGGCTGTCCCCACTCCCCTAGGGTGAGTGGCAGCTCTATAAACTCAGTCACAGTCCCCCTGGTAGCTCTGAGAGACTCGTGCAGGGTTTCCTTTAGGTGGAAGCCTGGGCTGGTGGTGCTGCCCAATTCTGCAATCTTCCCAGACCCCATGATCCTCTCTGATTCTGCGGTCCTCTCTGACACCATGGTCCTCCAAAACAGGGTGGGCTTCTCCAAGAGACCCTTCCCCTAGGAGGCTGGTGGCACCAGGCACACTCAGCAGAACTCCATCTTAACTGGCTTGGGGTAGAAAGCTCACTGAGAAGTCGGGGCAGCACCTGCGCTAATGGAGCTGTACTGTGAGAAAATGTCCTGGCTGACTTCCTCTTCCCGTGGTTGGCAAAAGAATGACATCCACTAAGCTCTCCTCCAATCACTGCGCTGCTCATTCTCCCGGGATGCAGAAGTGAGCAGATCACCTCCTGTTCCTGTCCATGGCCCCCACTCAGCCTGTCCCAGCCACCCTCATGCAGAGACCTGTGTTCTGCCACCTTCATCCAAAGATCCCCCTGCTCCTTTCCAGAAGTGGGCTGCTAAGCAGTTTCCCTAATCAGAGCTGGGAGCTTAGAACCAGAAGCCAAGCTTACTGCAGTGAAAGACCCCACCCCTTTAGATGGCTGAGTCCGGGGAGCTCGGTCACTGTTCAGGAGGAGGCCTGTACAAATAATTCAAACACAGACTCCAGACCAGGCAGGCCATGTCCAGGCTCTGACACTTCTGAGCTGTGTGACCTTGGATAGGTTATTTGATCTCTCTGAACCCCCATTTTCTTCCCTGTAAAATACAGTACCTACCTCATTAGGTTTTTGAGAGGATTTTCAAAGTGTCCATTTACAAGGTACTTAGCAGAGTGCTGGCCCACAGTGAATGCCGTTGGCTCTGTAGTCACCAAATGGCCCATTTGTCCTATCTGCTTACTCTCCTTGCTCCCTCCCAACCCTCCCAGACACACACAGTGACTTGTCTCTGTGAGTCCTCCCCGCTAATATTTTTCTTCCAGCCCAGAACCAAGTGACAGGCTGAGGGCACAAGCACTTTTATAAACATTTAAAGTTTTTACTTTAAAATAGTGAATTCTTTGTTTTATACATTTACTGGCTTATGATAAAGGATTTAGACAAACAGCCAGATGAAGTCCATAGGAAAGATCCAGAAGGGCTTAAGCCTGGGAGGGCCTTGTCCCTGTGGAGTTCGGGACACCATCCTCTCACACAGGATATTGTGGCCCGCCCAGAATCCTCCGTGCCCCCTCTCTGAGGGATTTTATGGAGGCGAATGCAAGTGCATTTAAATCACACAGCTCATCCAAGGGCCTTGTAATAAAGTGGATGCCGTGACCCCACCCCCTCCAGGCCTTTGGAATTCCGGCATTTGGTCTACTTCTCCTGCCCAGAACATGTCACTCTCAGCACACAGCTGTGAGCACTGAGCTCAGGCCAGGACCCTGCAGTGCTCCAAAGAGACAAAGTGTACCACCCTCCTGGACTTGAGGGAGGCAGGTGTGGCATCACATCTGGCATGGGAAGGAGGACAGGAAGGAACATGTGCTGAGATGGGGTGGCCTGGGAGGCTCCTCTGGGAGTGACATTTAAGTAGAGACCTGGACACCAGAGGGAGGGAGTCACGTTGATATCCTTCTTGCTAAATAATTTCTGAACATCATTTCAGGCATTTTGGGTTACCCTTTGCTATATTAGATATGAATAGAGTCCACTTTGCCCCACCCCTGCTTTCCCATCTGTCACTAGACTTTGCTCCTCTGGTGCCACCTTTGCTCTTGCAAGTAACATCTCACATATTTACTTCTTGCCCCTCACAGGACACCTGTGCAAGGTGGTTTTTCTCACCCGCACGATTCCATGTGGCCGCTCCCTTTTCTTCCACCGCCTGCCTCTAACCAGTTCTTCCCTATGGTTTCAGCTCCTGTCTGCAGCTAAGTTTTTCCAGCTGGAGGCTCTGCAGAGACACTGTGAGATTATCTGTGCAAAGAGCATCAATACCGACAACTGTGTGGACATTTACAACCATGCCAAGGTGAGCGTCCCCTTGACTAGAAGGTTCTAGATCAGTGGTTCTCGAAGTGTGGTCTCCAGCCTAGCAGCAGCAGGGAACTTGGACATTTTCTGGCCACACTCCAGATCTACTGAACTAGAAATGGGGTGAGGGGGTGAAGCAGGGGTTGTCCAGCCACCTCTGACTTCACAAGTCACCCACTTAATTCTGATACACAGAAGACAAGTTAACTTACTTAAGATCACACAGCCAGTACTGAGAATTTTTCTTTATGGAAAAATATCCATAATACAGAGTTCACCACCTTTAATATTTTAAGTGTATAGTTTCATGATAATAAGAATATTATGGAAGCAAGCCAGGCTCCCATAATCCTAGCTACTTAAGAGGCAGAGACCAGGAAGACTAAGGTTTGAGGCTAGCCCGGGCAAAAAGTTTGAGACCACCATCTCAAATAATAGCTGGGCACAGTGGTGTGCACCTGTCATCCCATCATCCCAGCATACATGGGAAGTCTAAAATAGGAGGATTGTGGTCCTGACCAGCCTGGGCAAAAAGCAAGACTCTATCTCCAAAGTTAGCAGAGAGAAATGGGCTAGAGGAGTGGCTCAAGTAGAAGAGCACCTGCCTAGCAAGTATGAGGCCCTAAGTTCAAACCCCAGTACCTCCAGAAAAACAGAACATGCACATTCTGTACAACCATGAGCACCACTCCCTTCCAGAACTTCTCCATCTCCCCAAAGTGAAGCTCTGCACCTTTAAACGCCTGTTCCCCACGCTCCTCTTCCCACCCACTGGCAGCCACCATTCTACTTCTGGTCTCTATGAATTTTACTGCTCTAGGGACCTCATGTAAGTAGAAGCACATAACATTTGTCCTTTAGTGACTGGCTCATTTCCCTCAGCATAATATGCTCAAGATTCATCCACATATCAGAATTTCCTTCCTTTTAAGGCTGAATTAGTAGTCCATTACACATTCCTTTCCATACACGTACATGTGTATGTGCCATTTTTGTCTGTTTATTCATTTGTCAGTGGACACGTGGGTTGCTTCCACCTTTTGGCTACTGTGACTAACACTGCTCTGAGCAGGGGTATAAATATCTGTTCAAGTCCCTGCTTTCTATTCTTTGGGGTGAACACCAGAAGTGTAATACTAAGATTTGAACCCAGATTTGTCACACACCAAAGCACAGATTCTTAACCCTGTGTTTACTCTCTATCCTAATAAATGAGGAGCTGCCTCTACTGCCTCAGCTTCTCTTGAATAAGCTGCCAGTGGGTGGGGAGAGGAGCGTGGAGAACAGGCGTTTAAAGGTGCAGAGCTTCACTTTGGGGAGATGGAGAAGTTCTGGAAGGGAGTGGTACTTTTTCAGTAAGTGAAAAAGTACAGCCTACTTCACACACACACACACACACACACACACACACACACACAAGGTGTTCTCAAGAAAGTCTTTTTTGAGACAGTCTCACTATATAGCTCAGACTAACCTCAAACTCTTAATTCTTCTGCCTCTACCTCCCCAAATGCTGTAATTCCAGGTGTGTACCATCATGCCCACAAAGCAAATTTTTTTCATCTTAATTACTTTGCAGAAGAGCATCTAGAAAGAATGCTCTCTCCCCCAGAAAGAGAGCCAGACTAGCCTGTGGTCCTACAACCTCCCTTGGCCTTGGTCATTCAAATTGATCTGGAAGCTGGGCGCCAGTGGCTCACAGCTATAATCTTAGCTACGCAGGAAACAGAGATTAGAAGGATCACAGTTCGAAGTCAGCCAGGGCAAATAGTTTGTGAGACTCTATCTCAAAAACCCTACCACAAAAGTGGGAGTGGGGGACAGGGACAGAGTGCTGGTGGAGTGGCCCTGAGTTCAAACCCCAGTACCATAAAAAAAAAAATTTTCCCTGGAAACCCAGCATCCACAAGTGGCTTCTCCATGGCCTGTCACCTTGGCAGTGAGTCCTATTATGACCCCTTGAATCTCTGTACCAGGCAGCGTCTGCAGCACAGCTCATTATTTAATAATGCAGCCAGGTACAATGTGAGCCCCACCTGGGAATACAGGCTTAGAACGCCTGTGGCAGAGAACCTGTCTTTCTCCTCCTTCATTTTGAGTCTTTGCAGCCAGGGTTTAGGCTTTTACAGACACCAGCCTCTGCCTCCCAGGTCACATCTGGGAGTATTTCCAGCATAAACATTTGCCCTTCATGATATCTGCATGAGGAACAGGCCACGACCAGCTATCTCTGCCCTTTCAGTACCTGCTTCCCTGTGTGATGGATGCTGTGGCCCCACTGATGACCACAAATCGTGGAGGTTCTATTGCGAGCAGATTGTCCTGAAAATTGAGGCTAGTTTAGTAAAAGAGGTGGAAAAGCAAGAAAGCAGCACTTAGTTTGGAACCTCAGGAAATGCAGGCATTTGAACGCTAATAGCCACGTTCCAAATGTCAGTCGACAGGGGCCTCAGCAACGTCAGCCTAAGAAGCTTCATGAAGTGCTTCTGACTGCTGGGATTTCACACGGATGAGAAACCCACCCACCAATGCACAGCTTAGCCATCTTTTTTCCCTAACAAAGCTATAGCCAGTTCTTCAGGCTTGAAAAAGGAGAACTTGCAGCTCCTGGTGGCCCTTTCAGGGTGTCTCTCTACTTGAGAAAAAGGATGAACTGGTTGCAGTAAGCTTAACTATGGAAAGAGCACAGGTTTAAGAACCAGGGATCCATTCCCTAGTATTTATTTACCCTTTTTTTTTTTTAATTTACTGGGACTACGTTCATCAGAACAAAATACAAAATTATCAAGTTTCAATTACCCTTGAAAAAAATTATAATCTAAGGTAAAGATCAGCAAATCTGTTCTGTAAAGAGCCAGAGAATTATTTCCAACTTTGTAGACCTTTGCTTTTATACCTACTTAATTCTGCCTCTGTAGTGCAGAACCAGCCATACATAATAAGGAAACAAATAGTGTGACTGTGTCCTAATAAAACTTTAGTTACAAAAACAAGTAGTGAGCCAGATTTGGCCCAGGGCCAACCTCTAGTCTAAGAGATTGGTTCAGTGACTAGTTGTGTGGAGATAGGCAAGTGGCTGGTATATAGTCACCCTTTAATTAATATTACCAATATAGTAATATTGGTACTATTTGTATTACAAATAGTACAAATGTAAGTATGCATCATGTTTATTCCACTTATATGAATATACAGAGTGGCACTCAGTCACAAAGCAGGAGTCAGGTGTGGTGGAGGGGCTTTCTCCATCCACAGAATCAGAGATAGGCAACTCTGAGCCTCAGTTTCCCCACCTACAGAATGAGGCTTTGTACTCTGACTCTAAGAGCAGAGTTCGAGTTGAAGGAATAAAAGCATTGCTAAGATCTCTCCCAGTTGCAGCACCCCGTGCCTCTATGTGAACATGTCTGTGATAAGAGGCCACTCACAGATAACACCCGCAGCCTCTTGGAGACCACAGAATTACCTTGTACACCGTGTCCCAAGTGGTATCCCTCTGGTCCACATCACTCATTCTGTAGCTTGGAAAATGGAGGCCCAGAGAAACAATTTGACTTGACCTTTGACAGGCCAGGGAGTAGAGGAATGTACTTTGGTCCTGTGATGGGAGATCTTCAAAGCCAAGAGATGGGGCAATGAAGGGTGGAGAGTCAGGGCCATTTCTGCAGCCAGTCCACCTGAGTCAGTTCCCCACCATTATCTCAGAAGCATAACCATCCTATCCTTCTCCACTGTCCCCAGTTCCTAGGAGTCACAGAGCTCTCTGCATACTGTGAAGGCTACTTTCTCAAAAACATGATGGTCCTCATCGAAAACGAGGCATTCAAGCAGCTTCTATATGACAAAAATGGTGAAGGAACGGGCCAGGATGTGCTCCAGGACTTACAGAGGACGTTGGCCATCAGGATTCAGTCCATCCACCTGTCATCTTCCAAAGGTTCCGTGGTATGAGACGTCCAGTGCTGGGAGTGCGTCCTGGAACCGTCCAGTTCCCCTGCTGCATTGGCCTCACACAAACGTACAAATTCCACCTGGCGTCTGTTTTAGGCTGGGTCAAGGAGCTGCCTCTACTGCCTCAGCTTCTCTTGAATAAGCAAACTTGGCTCCCACGTACTCCTGTTGAAGAACAAGGACATTTCGCTGATTAGATGGAAGCAGAGCCTGAATGTCAACACTGGGCAGTCAAGCCCACTCTGATGGAAAGTCCCCAGGTCCATGGACACCCACTGCTGGGAATCATTGTCAGTCCAATATTGGACTAAGACCTAAAGGTCCTCCGGTTCCCCGGCTGACAGCTGGAGAACTTAACCATACAGACCCTGAAGACCGTTACATGACACATGAATGACATGGCTACTGCTGAGCAGGTGTCAGCCACGGTAGCTAATTGGTGAGGCTCTTATCTATAATGAGGAAAAAATTTGGCCAATTTTTAGGGGTGGGAACTTTTTAAAATATTCATAATATAACAAAAACAGGGCAGTCTTGTAGTTGAAAATATATTTCTAAAAGCTTAACAGTTCATTTTCAACTAAATCGTGTTTAGGGATCTGTGTTTTGAGGTTCTTTTCTTCTTTTTTTTTAAAAAAAAAAAAAAAAAAACCAGTAAGTCGCAGGTCCATACCGTGTAAACATGCATCCAACAACCTACTGATATTCTATACAAGGTGAAATAATCCTGCCTTAGTGATCATGGTTACACAAAAGAGGTGCACTGCCAATAATTATCTCTAATCCAATAGTTATAAACAGTCTGCATGCGAATTGTGTTTTGGGGGTGTGAATAAAGGCCCCCCATATGAAAATCATGCATTAAGCATGGGCCCGAACCTGTACAATGTTATGTTTGTGCTTCATTTTTTTGCCAAGGTGAAAACATTCCATCACTTCTTGGTAAAAGTCCATTTGGTGAAATGAACATATTCACTTCTTCTCCTAATTAGGAATGATCGTGGGATGCATTTAGAGAACGTGTTCATAGACGAGGCTAAGGGGGGGTGGGGGAGCACGTCAGAGAATTTACAGAGAACTCCAGAGTTTTCCCGGTATTCTTAGAAGATGTTAATAGTTTGTTACGAGCCAGAGACTATGACTATGTTAGATTATTTTTAAAGACAAAACATGTATGATAAGATGGAGACTTTGTGTATTCTGGGAGTGTACAGTATAGGGCTACCTATAATGAAAGTTTATATTGACAGGGTTCTGTTTGCTCTGCCATATATTAAATATATATAAATATATATATATATATATATATATATATATAAGCAAAAGAGATTGGTGAAGTGCCACAATATTCCAAATTACTTTTGAGTTGCGGCCTTTTTCTCTCGTCCTTTTATTTGAAACCTAGATACATGCAGTAAAAGCTAGGAGAATGACTTTCGCTCTTTGGGATGGCAGCGTTTGATGGATAAATCCATTTCCTAGCATGCTTTGGGAAGTTGCGCCAGACCCTAGATTCTAAAGAAGCTGCTGTCTCTCCCTGAGCCCCCATTTCGAGGAGGACCAGTGTCAAGTCCTGTTTCATGGGTGTGACCCACGCCACATCTGTCTGCAGCCGGCTCCTCAGTGACAATGATCCACAAAATCTGTCTTCCTTGTGGTCATCTGAAAACCTCCCCCAACCCCACCATTCAATGAGGAAGGAAAACAACTGCCTGAAGAGGGGCCAAGTCACAATCCCACAGCGAGTATACAGCGTGCCTGCCACCATGTCGTTAGAGACTCTGTGTGGATTCTCCTTTGACCTCTGCTGACTTCGCTGTGAATATCTAAGGCTCATCCAGGGCCTCCGGGCGTAGATTTGTACCTTGGCAACTCCCACGGGGGCTTGTTACAGTTTGGTGTGCATTCTCTGACATTAAAAGAAATGATTTTCCCAAGCTTTGCATCCTTTGTATGGCTCTGCAGAAAACACAGAGGGGAATGACATTAGACAGAACACATGTGCTCATGTGGGTGGCAGTGGGCAGGGGGCTTATGAAGCTCTAGTGGCCGGGATCTCCATACACCTCTGGGTGATGTCTTGCCGTGGATTTCCTCCCCATCGGGCAGAGTATCTGTTGCCTGCTGCAGGAACCTTGTCTATAAGGCTGGGTTCTGGCTGTCCCTTGTATGCTTTAGGGAGGGGTGGGGGATGAAGGAAGACAAGTCATCTTACATGATGTACACCCACCAAAGACCAGCACAGGTGCTCCTAGATGGGGACAGCATTCTTGGATGGGGACTGGGGGACAAGCAGCTCTGTTCTTGGGTACCATGATCACTAAAGTCAAACCAAGTCCCCAGCTGGTCTGTGCTGTCTCCTGCCCCAGTCTGGGCCCAACCGTGACTCATGTAGGGATGAATACCACTAGCTAATCCACAAGGCCTACCAGAAGGGAGAGGGAGGCCCTAAAGAGAAGACTGGACTAGTGAGAGCAGACAAAGAGCTGACCTCACTGCCTTCCCAGGATGGCTAGCGACTTGTTTCTTCTTTAAGAAGCAACCAAAGCAACCAAGTACCAGGGGCCAGAACTATAAGCCAGGCCAGGAAAATAGAAGGTTGATCTATTTCTGACTGTCCACACCCCCTGCATAGCCTCGGGCAAGCTGAGCAAGCCATTTGATTCATTCCTCTTAGCAAGAAGAAGTGAGCGCTACAGCATTTGTCATTTACTTGTCTGACAGGTAGGTCTGTCACTCAGACCTCTGCAAAACCTATACAAGTGCCCTCAGCCTCTGGGGTGGGGGTGGGGGGGCGGCGGGGGAGCCTGCTTGCCACGTTCTCCCCTCCACTACCTTTGCATCTGCAGAGGGACCCTAGAAGGATTGTGTCCCAGAATTAACACAAGGCACCGACTTGGCTGTGTACCCACTCCCAAGGTGACCTGTCTTCTATATTTGCCATACCTGACTATCCCCCATTCTCCTCAGAGGAGAATCCCACTCAAAATGGAAACCAGGTGTGAGTGTCCACCACGGATGCCCCGAGCAGCCACAGGAAGGAATTTTAGTCCCACAGGAGCGCAGGATTGGACAGAGGACCCCTGAGGGTTTTGTGGTTCTGGGTTTGCTCTGTGTTCTGTGATTCTGTTTTTGGATCTCACATTGCTTTTTCATGTAAAGCCCCAGGCAAAAAAGTGTTCTTCCAGCTGGGGGCTGCCTGTCAAAACCCTTCTGTTATACAGTGTTTTACTAACCCCAGGCTATGTGAATTTCTTGGGGAAATATATTTCACCAGCCCTGGGGCCTCTGTCTTCAAAATTCAGCACTCCATTCCTTCATCCATGCCTTGCACTTGCTACCCTGAATTACAGGTGAAGGTCACAGAAATATTTGCCTTACCCCACTTCTAAATCCCTTTTTTTTCTTTTTTTATTGTTGTGCTGGGGATACATTATTACATTTACAAAAGTTTTTACATTGTGTCATAGTTGAATTAACCCCCTCCATCATTCTCCTTTATCCCCCTCCCCTAACTCCCTTCTGATCAGCCCCACTTGGACACTCTCCTAGGATAGCAATCCTGTCCCAGATTCCTCCAACCACGGGTAGAAGAACTTCCCCTTTCCATCTGGTTCCACCCGAGACTAACTTCGAGACATTGGACAAGTTACTCATCTAGCTTGCATTTTCCACTTTTGAAAACTTGGATTTAATTAGACTCAGCTAAGAGGGTTGTTAGAAGGATTAAAGGAGGTGTTTTGTATGGTCCAGCACTGTAGGAGCAAAAAACAAGGCATTTCCAAGCTTCTGAGATTGAGCAGGAGGCAAAGAAGTTGACAATTCATACAAGAAAAGGAAGGTTAATGAGTTTGACCTTTGTTTCCAGAACATCCTGCATCAGTGGTTCCCATGACGGTTTGTGATTCTCCAGGGCTTTGCTTCTTATTCCAGGGGATGTGGGGAACCCCCCCTGCCAAACCAAGCTCACTTACATTTCTCTTTCCCCATACAGTAGTGCCTCAAAAAAGTCAGAAATCACGAAATAAGTTCAACTGGTTTTTCCTTTCTTATAAATATCTTTCCTAAATATTACAGTTGCATGGATTAGCTCTCCCAAATTCCTCGTCCACTTAGGGATGTTAGGCTCACATTTGTGGCTCATGACACGAGATTGCATGGGATGTGTCTAAGGTCCCTGGCCCCACAAACAGCCAAAGAAGGTCCCCACTCACCCCACCCACCACTTAGTCTACCTTGGGGACAGTGGCAATGTGGAAAGGGACAAGGTAGTGACAACTCCCCAAACGAATACCATTAGAGGTCAGCTCCAGAAGAACCCAGGATCGCGGTCCTCATCAGGTCAGCACTGTCCACATGTCCTTCCCTGCCACTTGAGCATCCCCCCACTGAGAACTGATGAAACTTCCTTCCAGCTCAGCCAATGCCTCGAATAAAGCAGCACGTGCCTTTGGACAGGGACTTGCGGAAGCTGGTGTGATCCTTTATTATTTATTTATTTATTTATTTTTAACCATCTTTAAAAATAACCCTGCAGATTTTGAACTTCCTGCATGGTGGGAAAAAAAAAATAGAAGTCCTGCTCAGCAATCACACTGCACTTTAGCTCCCATTACTGATGAAGCAGTCAGATAACGAGTGCCCTGGAAAGGACACATCTCCAAGTTTAGCTCTGAAAATGAAAAGACAATCTGTCTGTGTGAATAGGCAATTAAAAGAGATGCCCTGATGTTGACAGTTCTCTGGCTGTTGCTCTGCAGAGTTAAGCCTCCAGTGAGTTCTGAGTTTTAATGCCATCTCAGATCTCAGAGATGAAATGCTGTGGGGAGAGGAAGCTGGCTGGTGTGATAGTGGGGCTCTGTGCAGGGCACCCAATCTCACCCCTGGTCTTGCTTCTGTCATCAGCTGCTTCGGTGACCTTGCCCAGGCCTCTTCCCCATCCTGGATCTGTTTCCTCAGCTCTGAAATGAGGGTCCTTCTCAGCTGACTTTCTGTAGGCCTGAACTGGGACACGACACATTCCCCTTACTGTGCTTGTACATTAGAACCTCATGGTAACACCATTTGGTGTGACAGAACATTC